CTAAGAGCAGATCATCACTGGGTTTCTAGTACGGGATAGAGATGTCGCCAAGTACACTCAACAACAAGTTAGAGAGTTCTCCCCCTTACAGCCTGAAAAAAACCAGCTAATATTGTGGCTAGAAGAACGACAACGAGATCCTTATCTGTTTTCTTGAACGATCCGACTAGGAGCACATCCCGCAATTGTTTGATGAACAAAAACTCCTTATTGAACAAGGTGTTGTGGCCCAGAATAACAAGAGAACTACAAATTTTGCGGCAGGAAACGTGCAAGAAGCTGGCCGCAGGCTAGTAATATAGGCCCATGGAAAGCCGTCAAACCCATGGCAGGCTTCTTTGTCCATGTGCAAGGTGGGTGACGTCTGTGCATTCTCTCGCTACGGTGTTGTTTTCTGTTTTGCACCCCTAGCGGAGGATCTGTCGGTTTGCTTAGTCTTTTCCCTTACAGGTCCACTTGGCACGTTGTTATCCATGGGATAGCACCACTAACCCCGATTAACGTTTAATCGTGGGAAAGAGCCTTTAACTGACGCGAGATGCTCACTAAAAATATCAGTGAAAAGGCATGAGGATATTCTGCACAATCTTCAGGGATCCTGACGCTGGGGTGATCGGGTTGGTAACTTCAGAAATGTGCCACTTTCATTGCTCGAAGGTACGCTGATATGGTGCTCGAGCGAATGCCTGGTGCCGTTTTGTACTCCACCCACGGACGAAACAGCAGACTCCACGAGCCGCGCGAACAGGCATGCACCTACTATATCCATGAGCACACTACATACATGATCGGGGCGCAGTTCGGCGACGGGGGGCATTTTGCACTTTTGCTACTTTCCATCGACGTGTCGACCTATCTAGACAGCCTCTTCTCGAGTTGACAGGTTTTAACATGATGGCTTGATACCTTGTTCAGCTCACACAAGAGTTCACAGGTTTCGCAAGTGCAGACTTTGTTCACAAAGTTTCGCCAGAGTGAGACTTGTAAACCGGAACTAAGGAACGCAATGATAATGCAAAATGCCCCCCTCCCCCGTCGCCGAACAGCGCCCATGAGGCGTCGGCAAGCAGCAGGCAGCTTGCCACCCATGTTGTTCGCTGCGGGACGCACATGCCCATGTTGTGGATAGTCCCGAACAGTGTCCAGCTAGCTCTCTGGCTTCATCTTCGCGCACTTTCAAGTGAACATAGTGGTATGCTTTGTGGGCTTTCCCATCTCTTACATGGCAAGAACGAATCTTGCAGGTAAGGGTACCGCGCATCTCTAAGGACAGAATGCTTTCCGTCGATTAATCCGTACTGTGGAGTATCGCAGTAGCTTCTTGGAAGCACTACGGTCGAACCAAGGATTTGTGGGACCAGCAAACAGGGCAGTGTTTCCATCCTCCCAGATGAGTTTAAGCCGGTGAACCTGCGGGAGGAGGGAGGAACGCCTGGTCACTCAGAGCTCGCCCCGCAATTTGACCCTCGACAGCACCCGTGGTAGGCGTGCTCCTTGCCACTGGACCACCCTGCTGACCTCCCACCCTTGACTAAATATCAGTACTTCTGCAATATCTTAATTTGATTTTTTAACAACGATTGGATTTTCGCATGATTCCAATAAGTGTTGTCGATTCCACGGGAATGGCCCTATAAAACCATTATTCTAGGGGTAAACAATCACATTAGTAAATTGGCTATCGAGGAATAGACCGTGCGTGGGCGCGCACAATTGGCCCCAATCATCTACATCAAATTGCCAAGTCTCCTTGCCCCGTTCCAATCCTCGTCGCCCATTTCTATGAAAATTCTAGGATCACGTTCGTTGCAATGTTCGTAAGAAATTCTTTCTTAAAGCGTGCTGACTCGTTTTCTCAAAAATCCTGCCAATTCATTGGTGATTCTCATCGCGTGCCATGGTGTGGTCGATTGAGTGAATAGCATTTCCTGTGAAGGGGGTTGGACGATTGCCAGAGATATGAACTACTCAGATGCCTTTTGGCGATCCACCCGACTACGTGCACTTGAGGACCAACGAAAGTCAAATGCAGCTCATTACAATGGGAGAACAACCTGAAACGCCCAGGTGAGTCAGCTTGTTTCTATCTTTTTTCGTAAAACAATTTCATGGGGAATTTTTAGTGGTTCACCTTGTTTCAACGCTCCTTCCACGCGGGAAGAACCAGCAACAGTGGTTGTCTTCAGATTTCGCTTTCAATTTTCAATTAAACTGAGCACAAGTTCGCTGACTATAAGTCACTAATGACGATTCGTCTAAGAAGAAACCGTTCTTCTATGGTCGAGTCGAAAAAAGTCCAAGCAGTTCGTTCTCCCTCCTCAGTCACTATTCTCTCTTTACGTTCCTGACAACGCCTCTTTGCCGTTCCTCCTTGGAAATTCCAGTCTTTTCTCACCACTTTGGACTCATCCTGTTCCACCTGAATTTCTCTTCGCCAAAGTCCTTGCTGAAGCGCGGTGAAGTTTCACACAAAAGAAATTCGCCCATTATGGGAGTGGTTGCCGCCTTCTCACGAAGCATTTTAAGGGTAATCCCTTCAAGGAAGCGGAGTCCTCTCCGGTTGTCCGAATTTCCGTTGTGGGCCATTTACTCGTTTTGCTTATTGGGTGTGATTTGCATATCGGCCCGGCAATGCTCATTTCAGTTTTGAAAAGATTATGCTTCAAGCTTTGCTTCTTATGTTTATTTTTTTATCACGATCTGTTGAAAATGTCCAACTACGCTCCAACCAAGGCACGTCCTACGTTGGAGAGTCCCCAGCGGGGGTCGTATTTGCTTC